TATATATATATATACACACACACACACACACAGTGTTTCCCCTGGCATTATATTAGGGGGCGACCTGCCCCCCCAAAGGCACCTGCCCATATATATATATATATATATATATACACATATACATTATTTACACGACGGCATGTCATTTCTGTCTCTACGTACATGCTCTCTGCATCGCGCACAGCGGAGTTTCGCCCCGATGTGCACACACAAGTGAGCACACTCCCACTCACAATAGTATTCGTAAATATTAAGCCGCAAAACGACTATTTAAATATGAATTATGTGTGTCTATGTGTTAATGAATGGCGCAGACGCACGGTTTTGTTTACTACTCGTACTGAAGCGCGTGTGACGTGTCCGGTGAAATTAACATCTGTAGATTACATCAAACCTCTCTTTCAGACAGATGATACTTGCAAGTATTCAAACTTAGTCTTATTAATTGATACATTAGGTATCATTTGCACCTTTTTACAAAGGTGTGTTTGAACTAAGAATCTGATGTTTCCCTCGGGTAGATCTGCTGAATATGCAAATGGTTCCATATATATGTGTGTGTGTGTGTGTGTGTGTGTATATATGTGTGTGTGTTTCTTTAATCTAGCATATCCATAACTGGCATAATTTGGAAAATTGTTATCCCTAGATCAATCTGTATTTGCATTATAGCATGTCACAGGACACTACTGTCAGTTTTGTTTGTATATATGCAAATACAGATTGATCTAGGGATAAGAATTTTCCACATTATGCCAGTTATGGATATGCTGGATTAAAGAAACAGTCTGTGCTGCAACACATTACCTCTCTAACAAGGCAAGACTACAATGAATGTCTCATCAGTTGCACAGTGATCATCACCTGTCAACATCTAAAACTTCATTAAGTGTGACAAAGCACAATTCAGCATTTATCTTGACTCGATATCTAGTACAGCAACCCCTATGATCTGTGCTCTTTTGCTTCAAGGCCAGAGGCAGAGAGATTTACAGATAATCAGGTGACAACCTCATGACATATGGACAGGAGTAGCTCTGTAAGTGACAGCACCCCGTAGAAGGGTAAACAAGGCAAACATCTATCTGTGTTTATGGGGTAGGGCCATGGCCACCTGTCCCTTGGACAAACAGCAGGCAGGATTTACAGGCGCACAGGAATCCACTTCCTCTGATGGCAGAGAGTGGGAAATGGCAGGGAGAGAAGCAGAGGGTTACATAAGACCAGCGCCGTCTGCGCACAGGAAGAGGCCAAGAAGAGAGAGCAGCGTGTGCTCAAAGAGTAAGAGTAACTCTAATGTATAGGGGGAAGGGGGAAAGGGGAAAGTGAATGGGGAATAGAGTGATGAAGGGGGTGCAGGATCGAATGGTGGTTTTGGTTTGTGGAAATTAGTCAGAACAAAATCTATCCAAATTTGGAGTGGACTGGTAGAAACAGTGAACAGATGTGTGGACACAAAGTTTATTTCCAGGTAACTCTGCAGAATGTGGTGGGCCCCTATTAGGATTCAACACAAAAGCCCCAGACAAACACTCAGCATCTAAGAAGGGCTGTGAAAGAGCTGAGAAACCAGAGGCAAAACATAAGAACTAACTCAAGTTGACAAGCACAGGCTTGAGCTCAGAAACAGAACAAAATACCAACACACACACACACACACACACACACACACACACACACCCCTCTGGAAATGAATAAGGTAGAGCTGAAGGGATGGCCAGGTTTCAACATACGGCTTTCTGGTAGTTTTCTACAATCAAATTCAAATTATTATTTTAAACATAAAAACGTAAAATGGATTAAAACATGATACACCTTCCTGGCGCTGCTTTTTTTCTGACCAGTGTTATTTTAGTATTATTTATATACTATTCTAGTTTTTATTAATATTTTAGCTTTTTTTGTTGTTGTAATTTTAGTTTTTTATATTACTATTTATTTTATATATTTTTTATTTTAAATTTCAGTTTATATTATATATGCAACACATGAGAAATGCATATAATGACATATGTTTTGGAGAGAGGAGAGTCTTTGCTACATACCCAGTGGTCTCTGGCAGGGATGAGCTAATGGTGGCGTGATGATTTTTAGATTTCTTGGGAGGCGTTCCAGAGGCGTTTGAAAACTGGGAGGAGACCGACTCATTACTGCCCACTGATGTCTCATCATTAACCAGGGCTGGACTCTCAGAGGATGGAGAGACTGTCAGAGCAAGGGAGCAAGCAGCAAGAAACAGAAAGAATGGTTAAGGGAAAAAAACAAAACAACAATGCACAAAAGACAAAAAGAAAGACAATATAGGAATGAAAAATACAGATACAGTGAGAGAGAGAGAGAGAGAGAGAGAGAGAGAGAGAGAGAGAGAGAGAGACCCAAGTACAGAAACATTCTAG